TGTGTTTCTGCAGCATATTTATAATACTGTTTAATCCTGCCTTGTATGAAAATGTTTGTATATAGCAGGGGTGGGCAAGGCCGCCGCCGAAAAGAGCCACATTTAAGTTCTAAATGCTACAAAGAGCCACAAAAACGAACACGAAAACAAAAATTTTATTTTTAAATAAAATTATTATAAGAAATGAAAAACATTAATTTTATTATTATTCTATTGTAAGTAAGATATATATACAAGAAAATTCAAAAGATCCCTTTGGCGAGATTTTCAAAATCTGGTTTTAGGTCAGTTAAAGCCGTTCGTAACAATTCTGTTAAATGTTGGATAGTCAATACGTACGTTCGTTTAAAATCTCCAGTAAAAAAAGCCCAACAGCGAAATTCCGGCGAAATATCATCTGTTCTCTCACAAGAGAAACATATCCAAAATAGTACGCGAACAGAAAATTTGCAGAAACTCGCAAGATAGACGAACAGCTGATAGAAATTTTGTTTACAATAGGTGCGTTCGTTTAAAATCTCCAGCAAAAACCAACCAACAGCAAAATTCCGGCGAAATGTCACCAGTTCTCTCACAAGAGAAAGATATCCAAAACAGTACGCGAACAAAAAATTTGCAGAAACTTGCAAGTTAGACGAACAACTGATATCATTTTTGTTTACATTCAAAAGTGTAAAATTTAACTCGACGAAAACTCATCACAAAGTGTTATCCTGACACAGTTTATTGATTAAACAAACAACTACTTACTTCTTACAAGTTTAATTAGTCGCATTTGGTCATTTTTAACTTTTAAACCATCAAATTCAATTTTGTGATTTGCATAAATTCCAACCAGCTGTTTTCCTGTTGGCAAATTGCTGTTGGCAAAAATTTTTCCAGCAGAAACCAGCAGCTTCCCCTCAAAATGAAATGTCACTTTGCTCTCTCAATTTCCCCTACTTTGCAAGATTTTTGCGTACGCGAACGCAAAAACCTGAAAGTTTTGGTTAAAAATGAACACTTAACAGCTACGCGAACGCAATTATTAACAGGTCTATTCTGCACGTTACCGAAGATTTTGTGACCGGAAAATTTTATTACCAAAAAATGTTACCACTTCTTGTTACCGCGATTCTAGGTACGTTGGTAATGCAGTGCAAATATTCAGCAAGTCAGCTATGAAGATTTGTGAAAATTCCTGTATTGCACATTTCACGGGGAAATATTTTGTTACCAGCTTATGAGATGGTAACCAAATTTACCGGTTACAAGAGAGCACAGAATGCGAAAAAGGTCTAAAAATTGGCAGACTCTTTAATTACCGGTTATAAAATTTATGTTAAAGTAAAAAGAGCAAAAATGTTCTAGGCAAGGAGAAAGTAAAAAGAGCCGCACTTTGCTAAGCAAAGAGCCGCATTTGGCTCAAAGAGCCACGTTTTCCCACCGTTGGTATATAGATTTTTAATTAGATAAGTGTTTAATAAATTTTACTATAGTAGGAGCTTGCACAATTCGGAAAATCTGTTCCCGTATATACAATGTAAATAATAATACTGGATATGTTGCATGTGTTCCTTTTGTTGACATGCATAAATTTGATGCATGATTTGATTTGAATTTATTCGGCAATGTCTTCATATATCACTTTCAAACATGTATAAGCGACATGATATAAACTGGCACTTAATGATGTGTTACATGTCGCTATGTTTTGTAGTTCAGGCCTTTAGTATCTATACATAATTGCTCAGTCATACGACTTAGTCAGGCCGATCTGTAGCAGCCGCAGAATTGAGCTATATATCAAACTAAAGTGCAAGCTGCAGTTGCAGTTGACCGTGTTTGTCAAAAAAGTAAAAAGCGGCAGAAAAGTCGATAGTGAGTAATATAATCTATTGAAAAATATTAACCATATTTCCGTGGAATTGAGATTCGGAAAAGTTAATAGGTATTATTCATAGTTTTGAAATATATTTCACGTAAGCCAAAAATAAAAAAAGCTGAGATCCCTTTCTTTTTTAGACACCTAGGATATCACTGACCATTAAAAAGGACCCTGAATGACTGCAAACCTCAAAGCATTACATAATTTTGTATGTGATTTTTAAAATGAACGATCCAAATTTAGCCGTATACATATTTAAAATTTTTTAGAATCAGTGGTTGAGGTTTTGTACTGAAAGGGTTAACCCTAAAAGTATAATCTACGTCTGCGAGGCGTATACGGAATGGGTATTTTTTTTTAATTTTAACACAAAATTTACTTTTTATATTGTTGTTTTAAATAAATGTGGTTTTATTATTAGTCAAACTCACAGCTTCAATATTCTTAAAAAACATAAGACAGGACTAAGTATATTTTAGCTCACAGGTTATCTTTTAAGTACATAAGCCTCTACGGCGTATGTTAAGGCTTTACGTTACTCCCAAATAGATTAGGCTTCTAGGGTTAAGAAAGCTTTAGTTTGAAAGTGTGATATTAAATGCTTTTCACCATAAACGGCGTCAATTTTCAATGATTATTGCGTTTCAGATTAAGACTAATACCAGATATTGTGAAAGGTTGGACTATACCTTAAAGATGACGGGTTTCTCATGGCCCACTGCACGAAGCTTAGAGTAGCGTAGTGTCTTTTAAGAACTTAAAAATTATCCTGGGTTATCAGGTGTCTAGCAATACAGAATTAATTGTTGTCTTTCACGAAGTTCTTTAAATAAATTTTAAGCTAAGTACTCACCTGTATTTCGGGGGTTACTACTAGTTTTAATATATTGTTAGTATAATTTCCTATAAAATTTACCTTTAAATACATCGAAAATTTGTTTTAGAGAATCAATGTGAAATAATTGCAGAAACGATTAACCGGTTTGCTGAGCAACCGAGACGTCTGCTTTTTAAATAATTTTTGTAAAACAAATCGGCAAGTACATATCGTCCCCCGCATGCCAGAAACATGACTGTGTAAAGATTAAAATTTAGGGATTTTTATATGTCGCCCCCCCTATATTCGAACCTGGCGACGCCCATGTCAATTATACTTGACTTAACATTTAATTACACATCAAACACATTTTCAAAAGTAAATTATACTATTTACGTGTAATTTTCTTGTCTTTTCTGTCTTTCAGACGTCGCTACACTCACAGTTGTGCACGCACCCTGAATCCAGCTTCACAGGTGAGGTTGACGCCAACGCTACCGGTAAGACGACAAAAAACGTGAATGCCAAAACGTACAAAAACAATGTGAACGGAAGAGCAAAAAGTAAACTGAATTAGAAAAATATGTCGCACGTCTTTACCTGTATGAGCACGTGAGGAAAGCAAAAAGCTTTGGCGCTGAAACAACAACTTTTAATTCCGATATCACGTTAGGGCTAACGCAATAAAAATGCGATTAAAATAAAACCTCATAGCGTAGATAACTGCCAAACAACGAGTAAAAAACAAACATCGCCATAAAACTAAGGAGCGTAAGAGGGTGAATTCCATTCGCCACCGGCGGCAGGCCACTTTCTTGACAGTCCTAATGGCCATAAAGTCCAATAAGCCACCAAAAAAGGCATTCCGAAAACAAGCGAAAACGCTATTTATAACATCAGAGCTGTGATATACATACCAGTAAGAAAATATATCATATTAAAAGACACACATACAAACATCCATGCACCCAACACTAAAAACAAAAACCTCGAAGACCAAGCCAAGCGAAATTGCTAAAAATACGAAGGAACACAAAAAGGCAAAAACTTGTGGATTAATAAAGTACATGCATACTTGCCCATAGCCGTTTGTATATACGAGTACATACATATACATATACATATGCACAAACATATATAAGCCATAGGAATTGAAGAAGGAGCAACGAATAAAAACGCTCATAGCTGTAGATTTTCTCTTTTGAGGCCACCAGTTGAAAAAATTGTTTTTAAATACAACAAAATGACACACCGATTGCATACTGCCGCAATAAGCAATTTCGCGTAGGACTAACAGAGCTGTTGGCACAGGCTGCGTCAGCGTTGTAGAACTTGGCAACTCATTGACCTGTGGTAGCAGGATTTAAAAGCTGTAAATGACGTGCGCTCAATTGCCGTCAACTTACTTTTTAAGCAGTTGCTGCCGATTCGCAAGCCAGTAAACAAAACAAGCATGCTCTACTCATTCTGAGTGAAAGTGTGCGTTGAGATTTGTGTTTCACTGGACATACATTTATTAGCAAAGGCGCTGTGAAGAAAAGGCCAATCGTGAACAAAGCGCTAACTGACTTGCGAAATAGTTTGGTCAACCCGAAAGTAATTTATAAAAGCTAACTGCCAAATCTGGTGCCAAGCATCAAACGGCTGTTTCGTAAACTATTAACACGCACCCGAGTATTCGGGTGAAGCGTCGCACACATGCCACACTCATAAGATCTCAGTACCGCGTTGAAGCACACTCATCGCGATATCATTAATTTAGAACGGAATGGACACGTCGACCTCAGCAACAACAATGTCCGCTATAAAGATTACAATGCCAGCAAAAGCAGCTATACAGAAGAAGGAAGTGAAGCATCCAAGTTCATCGCTGTCATCGTTAATCACATGTTTTATATCCTGTTTCATTGTGGTTGTGAGTCGCATATCTCCTTCAATAGCAGCAGAAGGAATAACAACAGCTTCGGCAACAATGCTTACAAAGGTAGAAACAGTAGGCGGCGGTAGTGAAGATAGTACTTCCACCATTTCTGCCCAAAGTGCAAGCCATTTGGGCGCATCTGGTGGTGGCGAGGGTAACGGAATCGGTGGCAACGGTTTGAGCTGGGATCATGCCGTCGATTTGAATGAGGATTTTCGCATTTTATGGACAATCATTAATCAGGATATTACGTTCGAAATACAAGCACGTACGCTGGGTTACGTTGGGTTTGGATTTTCACCCGATGGAAAGCTCGCTGGTGCCGACATGGCCGTCGGTTGGGTGGACAAGGGTCAAACATATTTTCAGGTGAGCTTAACAACACTTTAATATATGTATTTCACATACCCATTCAAAAATAAGCACTTTCACACACGCATTCCTTAAGTGTTCTCACACTTATTCTCTCATTTATGCTTAAGGCATTTTTCTTTTCAATGTGTCTAAATTGTATCCCCGTTATTACTTGTGCGAAGCGATCCCTCGAAATTGCCAATGGTTTGAAATACCTTTTCATGCATTACTCTTAAATTTTTGAATTATTACTTTAGTAAATATTGCTTAAGCTCTGCAAGTGCAATTAATTTCAAAAGAATTGTAAAACTATACGCATACATACATATATATGTACCTATTTGATGGACAGAATTTAAAAGACTATTCCAACGCCTACGATTTAACTGCTGCGCCTAAAACTTTGACGCGGAACAAAAGTATTGTTTCGTCGTTGCCACGTTATCAACAGGATATAACTATAACGTAAACAAGTAAAAAAGTCTAATTTCGGGCGGAGCGAACATTAAATACCCGGCGCAAGTATTCAATATACTTTTTCACCTTTCCGAAAACTACCGCTACGTGGTAAGAAGGGATGGTTTTACTCTTATTTCAAACATATTCCATAAACTTAAATAGTTATAGGTGGGCGGTATCACGCCCTTTTCCAAAATTCCATATTAATGTTACTTATTTTCAAGGGATTGTTGTTAGTATCAACTTTGAGTAAATGAGTGTCCTTAAATTTCGATATATCGAAGTTTCAAGCATTTCTAAAATTTACCGTTATACAAAAGTGGGCGTAATTTTAGCCCGATTTCAAAAATTTTCAAAGTTTTGCTTTTATGTGACATGCGCAACAATCATACCGAGTTTGGTACAAATTGATCGATTGTTTACTGATTTATCGAAATTTCGTATATTTCTAAATTAAAGTTACATGGGATGTGGGCGTGGTTATTGTCCGATTTTAAACATTTTCAGTCGTTTAGTATGTTGTATCACGGCCAACAACTGTGCCAAGTTTGAGAGAATCATGTAATCATAAGTAGGCGTCACTACACCCATTTTCCAAAAATTTATAATATTATTATTTTCCGTCTAAAAATGGCTGCAAATATAAATTTTGCGTGAATTAGCTGCAGTAGTTACTAAAAAGTCGCAGTTTTCGTATTTCTGTAAACTACCGTTACATGGGAGGTAGGCATGGTTATTGTCCGATTTTGCCCATTTTCAATACCATCCGTCCTACGCTGAAATGAAATACACATACCAAGTTAGTTAATACTATGTTCACGTTGAAATATTAACTCGGGTTTAACGGTTTGAGTTTATGAACAAATGGCAAGTGTTCTCATTGGTGTCAGGGCTCCCAAGTTGGCTAGAACCGTGCCATTTTATTTCTCATGGCACTTAATTTTTCAATTTGGCACAAAGTGCCAAAATGGCACTTTTGAAAAATAGTAAGATTTCAATACATTTTTGCGAAACACTTTGCTTGTATTTCATTTTCTCAACTTAAATTTTCTAATTTCTAGAGTGCATACAAATGGTTTATCTTATTTTGGCAGTGGACTTTTGTTTTAGGAGTGTGCTCCTAATTTTAATGCTAAATGGGAAGAATTGATTGGCAAATTTTTTGGCACTTTTGTTTTTCTATTTGGCAAATTGTGGCACTTTTTTATCAAAAATATTGGACTAAGGATAGTTGGCAGCCCTAATTGGGGTGTTTAATAAACTCAGAGTTCAATTTGACATTTGTTTGTTTACTTTTTCTTATTCATATTAAGCTGCTCCCGTTATCCAGGGTTAAGACAGAAATAGTCCCAAATAGCCGCGGTGTAGAATACCAACCGTTCAGCCAAAAAAAAGAAGAAATGTGACTCGATAGAACTTTTCATACTCATTTCAACCATACCAAGATTATTTGGCAGAAATAAAAATCAAAGCCTATAAAAGGGGTTCAAGGTTTTTTAACCGACTTGACAAAAAGGAGAAGGTTCTCAGTTCGCCGGAATATTTTTTTATCTATGTTACCGCATAACTTTGGACCACGTTAACCGATTTCGGCAATTCTTTTTTCATCGGAAAGATGGTACCCCAAGTGTGGTCCCATACTAAGTTTGGTTAGATCCGATATTTGGATCGTGAATAAATTAACGATAATCGTAAATTTGTATATGAGAATTAAAGTCGGTTTTGTTTTTTGCTTAAAAATTACTTGTAATATTTATAATATCTCGGAAACTAAATATTTGCCAATCACAAAAGAATTGATCCTTATTTAAAGATAATATAAATACCTTTTACGCGACGTGTATAGTATAAACCTTTTTAAAACAGATTTTTAATAAACGCCATTTAAAAAAATATATATGTGACCTGGTCTACGAAAAGGGAGCTTACGTGCGAAAACTAGT